CCCCGCCGCCGATCCCCGGACCCTCCGCGGGGGTTTTTTCCTCCGCGGCCCGGAGAACGGCGGCCCATGTTGCCCCTCCTCCCGCTCCCCTCAAGTCCGGGAGCGATACGGCCGCGGCGGCCGGCGCGCGGGGGGTGCGCTCCGACAGGCGCTCCCCCGCCCGTCGCCCCCCATCGCCCCAGCCCCCACCAGCCCCCCACCTCTCCTACTCCTCCCCTTACGGGGAAGGATCAGCACGGGGACGGGAGGGGAACGGGAGCCAAGCTCCCCCCGCTCCTCCCCCCCTCGCTCCCGCGTTGTCGCGGGATCTCCCCATAGTGGGCCCCCAAAAGGAGCCCGCATCTTCTGTCGGCGGCCTCCTCGGCCAGCCGAACTACCTCTTCTCTGAGGCCGCTCGGCCACACCGGAGGGGCCGCCGACTTGCCCTCTCCACACAGGGGGGGCATCGCTCCCGCCTCCCCCTCCGTCTGGCAGGACTGCTCCTCCCCCGCCACCCTTGCGGGGGAGGTCGCCCTGTCGCACTTCTCCCACGGGGGGGGCGTTTGCGTCGCTACCCCCCTACCCATCCCAGCGGGAGAGGTCGGCCTCTCCCGCGTCTCTCGCGGGGGGGGCGTCTGTGTGGACGCCCCTCTCCGCTCGGCCACCTTCGCAGGAGAGGTCGCCCTCTCCCGCACTTCTCTGAGGGGGCTCGGGGACGTCATCGTCCCCGTATCTCGTCTTTCGGGAGGGACGAGTCGCGCCATCGCCCTCCCGAAGTCCCCCTCTGCGCGCTCCAGCCTCAGCGCAAGGGCCTGCCCCCGTTTCCACAGTGTGTAAACGGCGACCATGGCCCCTGCCACATCCTCGGGGAGGTACCCCCTTATCCTCTCCGGGAACACCTCCCCGAGGTCCTCCTCGGTCTCGCCCATGTGGATGGAGTACGGTGCCAGGTCTTTTAGCGCCCTCTCCGCCCAGTCAGCGTCGGTCAACTCCTCGGCCGTCCTGAAGGCCGAGTAAAAATACTCGTCCTCCCGGCCAGCCATACAGCGCCCCCAGCAGTCCCCCATATAACTCAGCCAGGGTGTCACCCGGGCCGGTCTCTCCGGTGGAACCGGGCCCAGCTCCTGGCCCTCCAAGGGGTCCGCAGACGCTTCCGTCCGGCCTCCACGGGCCGCCTCCCCCTCAGCCCCCTTCGCCGCTCTCTCCCTTCTCTCCCACCTCGACCGCGTCCTGCGGCCGGCGGAAGCGTCGGGAGAGTGTCCGGCGCCCTCATCCTTGAGGGATTTTCCCCCCTTTCCCCGAATTTTTTGTGATGAAGAGGCCATCGCAAAAATTCCCACGACCCGCGGCGGCTATCCCGGTAGGGCATGCCCTCCTCCCCCATCCCTGTGGGAGGCCCCGAGTCCTCCCGGGGACCGGGATATGGCTCTGGCTGGGGGAAACTAAC